TTCAGGGTCACCCCCATCTCTCTGGGTACCAACACCGTTCAGGGTCACCACCATCTCTCCCTGGCAGAACTTTCACAGCATAAGTATGTCTACAACATGTCATTTAAAACCTTAGAACAATGAATTAATTTTTAGTTCTTTTGGACGTTATGATTATTGTGAAAGAAGCAGAATATTACGGTCAGCTGAGATAGAGCAGAGAGGACAAGGTTGAGCTGAAGAAGCCGAGGGTAGAGGAGAGAATCAGAGCTCTGCATCCCAGAAAGGTGAAATACGGCTTCCTGTGTGTCTTGTCCTAATTTAATTTCAGTTGTTACTGTCCCCGTGAACATATACAGTCATTACCTGAGTGGTGTGGCTCTCCCTGTGTCTCTGAAATGATGACATGGCTGTGCCCCCCACAGACAGCTTGGAGTACCTTTGTTCTTCAGGTAAACCTGTGGAGGCCAACACAAACGGTAGTTAGGTGCTGTCTCTGTCCCCAAACCAGGCACCTTGTGTGCTTACTGTAATAAACAAGAACTGTTATACTTCAGGAACTGAAATGACAATCTGTGAACAATAATTGGATATAAAACTTTTCAATGAAACATGGGAAGGCCAGCTGCGGTACTCATGCCTGTAATCCCAGCACTCTGGGAGGCCGAGGTGGGTGGGTTGTCTGAGATCACAGGTTGCTAGACCAGCCTGAGCCAGAAGGAAACCCTGTCTCTAAAAATAACCTGGTGTTGTGGCAGGCACCTGTAGTCCTGGCTACTTGGGAGGCTGAGGCAAGACGATTATTTTAGCCCAAGAGGTTGAGGTTACTGTGAGCTATGATGCCACTGTACCCTACCAGGGGTGACAAAGTGAGACTCTGTCTCAAAAAGAAGAAAATTAAAAAAAAAAACAACCCACAAACAACAAAACATGAGAATGAAATGCATCGTGGCAGCTTCATTTAGTAAAGGACATGTCCTGACAGGGGAGGAAACCACGGCAAACCAACACCCGTGTGTGGCAACAGCACCAAAGGGCAAAAGGTCCTGGAGGACAGAAGGGAGACTGGGTCCCGAGACGAGGCTGGTGAAGCCTCCACGGGGAGAGGCCGGGCAGGGGCCAGGTCCACACTGGGGCTGCTGCAGATGGCAGGGCTGTGGCATTCACAGGACAGCAGGAAGGGGGCAAAGATGGGGTTGAAAGATGAATGGAACACACTGCTGGTGGGACTGCAAAATAATTCAACCTGTGTGGAAAGAAATATGGCGAATTCTCAAAGAACTAAAACTGGACCTTCCATTCGATCCTGCAATCCCAGTACTAGGCATCTACCCAGAAGAAATAAAACCATTTTACCACAAGGACATCTGCACTAGAATGTTTATCGCAGCTCAGTTCACACTTGCCAAGACATGGAATCAACCCAAGTGCCCATTGTCCCATGAATGGATTCACAAACTGAGGTATACGTGTACCATGGAGTATTATTCAGCCATAAGAAAGGATGGAGACTTTATATCTCTTGTGTTTACCTGGACAGAGTAGCAATACATTCTTCTTAGTAAACTATCTCAACAATTGAAAAAAAAAATATCCCATGTACTTAATACTAACATGAAATCAATAGATAAACAACTACATGCCCACACCAAAGACAAATGTAAATATAGTCTAGAAAGGGGGAGGGGAGAGGAGGCGGAGGGGGAGGGGGAGGGGCAGGGCCTCATCTAATGTGTACAATGTGAGGGTGTTCAGACACCCCCAGCTGACGGGCTCAGCTACAACTTGAACTTTACCTCATAAATGAAAACAAGGTAACCTAAACCTTTGTGCTCTCATATTAATCTGAAATTTAATAAAATATAGTAAAATAAAATAAAATAAAAAGATGGACAGAACAAAACCAGGTCTATGTGTCAGACGAATTTCCTTGACAATGGTTCATTTTATGTATAAGGAAGAAAAGCAACTGGCCGAGACTTTATAAGGAAAACGTTGGGAGTTTTCCTTATAAAGGAAATAAAGGAATAAAGTTTTTCCCTTATGCAGCTGGGAGTTCACGGTGCATTAGTGCCTGAGCAACCCCACAGAATAGCTCATGGGTCCAGGGAAACGTCCATGCCTTCCACTAACACAGAGGCGCCGGCGGGCTACCCAAGGGTTGCGTGGATTATCCTTGGCGGCAGAAGCCCTGCTTCTCGGCCTCAGCCCTGCTGTCACCTGGACCTGCACAGTATTTCCTTGTGGGGACTGCCCTGTGGGACACTGGGCTCAGCCTTGCTGGCTCCTAGGACCACACGACATTTCCTCATGGGGACTGCACTGTAGGAGGTGAGTGTCTCTGGCCTCCCTCCATCCCTGCTAGATGTCACAGGCATCCCTGTTCCTGACAACAAAAATGGTACCAGACATTGCTGAATTTCTTCTGAGCGTTGAATTATCCCCCAATAATGATTGAGAGCCACTGTGATACTGGAATCATGTGTCACCAAAGTGACTAGATTCATAAACATGAATAGAATAGGAGAGAAATAACTACCCAATGTAATGAATTCAACTCGGAGGACTTTAACCACTGAAGTGATTGCTACTCTCATCTGAAAGCTTAATTAAGTAGCATGGTATAATTGATTAAACATATACATGACTCCTAAATTAAAAATCATCAGAAAATCGCTACACATTTTTCCAATTGTAGGGGTGCATCAGGTCCTCAGGGAAGTCCACACAATCCTATCAACACATAACAAGGCTGCCCATTGATTCCTGTTACACAGAACGCCTGGGTGTGGACAGTGAACTTCAGGAGACGCGCCTGCTGCAGCCAGCACCTGGACACTGGCACTCCTGCAGGTGGGCGTCTCCCTGGAGGACAGGTCGCAGTCACAAGCAAGTGCGGTGTCCTCAGGAAGCAGGTGTGATACAGTATTTGGACACTGTCCTCGCTGCCTCAGCCTTCTCCGAAACCAGACTGGAGCTCCCGATTCCATCAACACATTCTTTCTAGAGCAGCAACACTTTGCCTTGAAGATCCAACTATGTCCATTTGATCCTAAAAACTTCTTTTAAAAAGCCAAATTATAGCCAGGGCTGAGGTTTTCTGAAACAGCGTCTGCCCTGCCCTCTAGACCCGGGCTCTGCTAATCAGGGGGCATGTGGAGGCTCAGGGTCTGGTCTTCCTCAGAACCTGATGTACTCAGCTTCACAGACACAACAGAGATGCTCTAGGGAACTGCTTCTCCCCACCTGTGTCTGGGTGAGGAAGCCTTGGAAGGCTTTAGCCCTGCGTGAGGGGCAGGCCAGCTGAGAGGCTCCTCTTCACCCTGTCTGGAGCACAGAGAGGAATGGCTTTGGGGACAGTCTCCTCACAGCCACATGTAGGTCTCTTCTTCCCTGGATTTCCGTATGATTTTGAAAAGAGAGAGACTCTCAGATCATGAAGTTTATTTACATGAAGGGCCCAGTGGATCCATTGACAGTCTTAGAAGGAGAGAAGAGTGAGACCCAGAGTACAGTACTGGGCTGACCCCGAATTCCACGTGTTTTGGGCCACAGTCTGCTGGTCACCAGCCCTGCCCGGTTGTGGGGATCCCAGGTTGTCTCCCCAGTAGTAGGGGGTAGGGGTTGGACCTCTCAAGGGCCTCCCAGCTCGTGCCCTGTGCTCTTAGGTTCATTCTTCTCTTGGTTTCTGTGAAACTGGAAATCTGATCTGTCTCCTGACCGTCCATTCTGTCTTTCCATTTCAGCCCTTCTCAAGGCAGGTTTGGCATTCTACATAGTTGATGGTCATATTTTCCCCTTGTTCCTCTCTATGGTTTCTCCTCTGGTGCTATAAATAATCTCCATGTGTCCAGCTTATTTGAAAATTCTGCCTTTTCTATCAATCCATCCTGGAACCCTCACCTAAATGCAGAAACTCTCACCATCTTCTAGGGATGATCACTGCAGTCAGAAGGACTTCCTCTCTCTTGAACTCTAACTCTGCCTATGAAGTTACCTTTTTCTCATAATTCCCTGCAGTGCCAGAGAGGGCAGAGTCCTCCCATCATTCCTCTCCAGTGCCCGGAATCCTCCCTGACGCCTGCCTCTGTCATGGCTCCGACACCAATACAGCCTCTACTAGTCTTGCTTGGTGCACAAATCCAGGAGGTGCAAACCAAGAAACACAAAGATCCTCCCCCAGCTCAATTTTCTATTCTGCCCTGACTGCATTTTTCCAAAGTAGCAGGTGGCACCCTGCCCCCCAAAGCAAGAAGAGCACTTTCAGGGGGACTCTACATTGGCGCTCACAGTCTGCTCATCTTATTTAAAAATTTCTTTTCTATCTTATTTACCTACACCATCAGAGCAGTGAATTCACGTTCCACAAAATGGGCAGAAAACTCACGGCAAGGTGTCCCCTTGTCTGAACCCTGCTCATCCTGAAAACCCCGACCTCCTTTATGAAGCACCCTTAACACCCCCAGCCTGCCGGCATCCGTCTCTGTGTGGAAAGTGACAGAGTAATCATCACTCTCGCCACTCACCCAACCTTTCCCACTGGACGGCCTCACTTCCTTGTCTCCTCTGAAGTGCGTGTTGATGTTGTGTGTGTTTTCACTGCTCACACAGGATGGGCATTCTGTGGGGCTCAGGCCACAGTTCGCTTCCTGCCCATAGCAGGTGCCTGGAGACAACTGCTGCACTGAACACGTGGGCTGTCCTCTGTGTGCACTGCCACCATGTGGGCCGACCCCAGTGTGCACTGCCTCCGCGTGGGCCGTCCCCC